TTTTTCCTGTTTTTTTTTTTCAGTGATTATGAAAAAAGAAGAAATATATATACACTTACAAAAACTGTATGAAGGGAACAAAATACTGAGAGAAGCAATAGTATTACTGTTTTTGTTTATTTACTCTTCAAGGAAAATATTTACGGCTGCTAAGAAGAAAAATAAATTTTATAGTAGCAATTATAGTACTAGTAAAGAAAAGAAAATATATAAAACTAATATCATTTACAGAAAAAACTTAAATACACAAAAGGATATATTGACATAAAAAGTAATTTTAATGTTTTTTTCTATCCTTCTTCGAGTCTCCTTTTGAGTTATTTCTTCCCTTCTTATTCCCTGCCATTTGCTTGTCTTTCGGTCTGTTGCTTGCCAAGGGGTGCACTTCTGTTAGAGAGAAAAAAAAAAAAATAAGTGACAGATGAAGTAACCATAAATTTAAATCAATATATATAACATATTCTCTAAGAGCAATGAAAAATGTAAAAATATAGGGTACTATAACATATAATTCAAAATTAATGTGGGCAAATAAAGTCGCAGTCATCATAGTAAGTTCAAGTTCTAGTTTCTGAAAGAGAGAGGAAGGAGAGAGAAGAGAAAGAGAAAGAATGAGAGTGAACGAGAGAGAAAACCAACCATCTGTGGGTGCGTTCTCTAAGGTAACATCAAAGGTCTTGGGTCTCTTCTTCTTCGGGGATATGTTCTCCTTGCAGTCGCCCGAGCGCTTGCTGTTCAGGTCCTCGTTAGGTGCCCCCTCTGGTCCCCAACCTTCCTCGGGCTCTTCAATCTCCGGGGAGATGGGGAGGTACAGGAGGGTGCTGCTGTCGTCTTCCTCGTCTGAGCTGCAGAAGGCTGCAACGGGTTCTATCGCTGTGACGTCCACCTTGGGAGAGGGAAGGAAGAGCATAGAATTCTTGAGAGCTGGTGTCATGTGTGTCCCTACTGAATATTGTGTTATGAATGTATGGAGAAAAGAGAGAGGTGAATATTTCCTACAGAATATATGCAAAATGAAGAAGAAAGAGAAGGAAAAGAATTTTTCCTCAATCTTTTACCCATACGGCCATTTGCCATCCCATCATCATTTCCCTTTCTTACCTCAATATCCTCCTCCTTCTTCTCCTGGCTCATTTCGACACTCTTGTCCTCATCGCTCTGGTCGAACTCTGATTCCCTCTCCTCGTACTCCACATTCTCGTCCAGCTCCTTGAAGTCAGGGGCAAAGGCCGACCAGTTCTCCACCTGGTTTTGCGACCACACAGACACCACCCCAGAGCTGATGGATGCCAATATTGGTCGCACTGGATGCCACTTGAGTTGGAGGGGCAGAGGAAAGAGAGAATCATGCCAAGATTTTTCTAATTATACACGACGAAAAGAAACACTAAATCATTTATCACTATCATCTTTCTTTAACCCCAGACGTGGCCATCACATAGTGAAAAAATTTACTTGGAAGGGTAAGTGAAGTGAACATGCCGGGCTGGGCTGATGGGGTCATGAGTGCACAAAGCTCTTGCAGGGAGATTAGACTCAGTGGGTCTTTAGAATGGGGCTCTTGCATTATTTCAATTGATAAACGAATTTAGAATGTACCACCCTGAACTACCTCTAGGGAGGATGCTATTTCCAAGCTCAGGATCATATTCCTGTTTGCCATGACTGGTGGTGAAGGGTGTATTATAGAAAATCTAACATCATGAAAAGCTTTACGAATATGACACAGAGTAACAAAATGTTACTTGTTATTATAATTACAAAGAGTTATGGAATACCTAGAGAGATGATATGGAGTCGGCGCAAGGAAAACAGTCTATTACCACATGGACACAGCACATCAAATGACAAATATAGACCTTGGAAGATGGTGAAATAGCTAAAACCCCTCCTGCCTTGGACCTCGGCCCTCGCCTCAACTAATTTTGCGGGGTCTTTTCTTCTCCTCCTTTTTCTTTTCCTTCTCTTCTTCATCCCCCTCTTCTGTCCACTCATCCCAATCGTTAACTCATTCTTACCCTTTTTGCCACAATACTTTACCATAATGCTATGTGACCTTTGACATCAAGCACATTTATTTGTTAAACCCCCATTAACCATTCTGGAAATCCTCAAGAATTGCCTCATGAATAAAAAAAAAAAAACTTCCTTACCTGGGGGCTTTGCTCTAAGCCCTTCCCCATCAATATATTTTGAATATGCCGCAAATGACCTTAGATTTTCAAACTATAGAAAATTTTCAGTAAACGAACATAAGCCACATGCCCGTGAGTACGGCCACTCAAGTAAGCCTAATGCCTAGAAATTGAGTCATGTGGGCAGTGAAGCATCAAAGGAGCTAAGTAAAAACGTAAATACATTCCTGATAAAAATAATAATAATAACAGTAATAACAACGCTAACAGTAATAGTAATAATAATGATAATCACTCCAATGATGATAATGATGATAATAATGATAATAATAATAATATTAACAATAATAATAGTAATAGTAATTGTAATAATAATAATAATAATAATAATAATAATAAAAATAACAATAACAACAATAACAATACCAACAATAACAACAATGAAATTGGTTCATGACCGGAAAACGGGAATGACTCGCCACACACGTACAAAGATCTCGGATGATGTTCAGACTTGGTGGGCATTTAAAAAGGGGCTCTTGAATCATTTTCATCAATAAACCTGTGAAATGTACCATATATCAACCATGGCTGGAAGAGTGCCAGCTCTCGGGAGGACACTATGTCAATGCACAGAATCATATACCTGCCCACCATCATACTTGTGATTACTCATAAAAATTGCTCCTTAACCCATTCGCCCCATGTGGCAAGAATACATGCCATGCCCACTGCAGTACACGTTTATTTATTGTATTTACACACAGATGGCTCTACTAGTTCTTAATCACCAAATAGCCAGTTTATCAGAACTACCTATCTCACCTGTTTACTCTTTTCCTTCACTTTAGGAAAGGGTCTTTTGTATCATTTCATTGTTTAAAATATTTTAATGACAATTTAATAATCATAACATCATAACATCAATAGCAATGGTATTAATAAGAAAAAAACATTTTCCCGCCAATTCAATGAACGGGAAAATCAGGGTCGATAACTAGGGCCTCCCGATAGACTCCTTGCCGGCTGAGCACATGTGGAGCCATTTGTATGTAACAAAATTCACCAAAAACTACAGTGGACAGAACATAAATCCGGGGCGAATGGATTAAAGGCAATTTGAATCAAGGAACCATTCTTGCTATTGTTTGATGTTTGTAATATAAGCCAGTCTTTAAAATACACACTGTGACAATAACAGTAATAGTAATAATAGTAATGATAATGATGATAATAATAATAATAATAATAATAATAATAATAATAATAATAGTAAATAATAACAAAAATAATAATGAAATTAAAAATATAATTTGGATCACATTCCATTACCTCTTACTTACTTGCTTACTTGTATTCAATATTAATATTGATATATATCTTTGTCCCATCTTCGGAATCTCATAATTAGTCATATTCCAATAAGCTCTGAGTAAAGGAGAAAGGCTTTGGCGTAACAAAATTTAGAGAAAAAACAAAAAGTCAGTATATAAAAAAAAAAGAAAAAAAAAAAGAAAAAAAAAAATAATAATAATAATAAATTCAAGGAGAAATAAAAGCACATGGAAATAAATCAAGAAAAAAATATATAAAAACAACAACACAATAATGTATAAAACACTTAACTGTAAATAATCTTAGACATTTCTCTTTCTTTTCTTAACCTAATAATTGCACAATTAGGATTCCTGGCTTCCTCTCCCACTACACTTGCACACCTTCTTCATTAATCCATTGCTTATCTCGTATTCTATTTGCTTCCCTTTTCCCTTTTCCCTTTTAAATGCATTATTTATGCCCGATAAAAGAAAAAGAAGAAGAAGAAGAAGAAGAAGAAGAAGAAGAAGACGAAGAAGAAGAAGAAGAATCTTCCTTGATATATGAGGTTAAAAAATCAACAACAACAACAACAAAACAACAACAGGCAATTACCAGACACACCTGGTTCCTGTAAAAAAAAAAAAAAAAAAAAAAAAAAGGTATCATAAATTTATCCCTAAACTCACCACAACATCAAGAAGCATCTCTCCCTTTGTGCCGTGCAAGATCTTAACCAGGTTTCCCACGCTCCGCTCCCATATGTACAGGGAGTGCTGTCTAGCGGAGCCTGCGCAGATATATTCGCCGTCTCCGGAAAAGCAGCATTTCTTCCACATGGTTCTGGAAAATAGTTTAGAATATGCAAATTGAAGGGGGATGGGGAGGGGGGAACAAGAGAGGGAGGGAAAGGGAAGATGGGAAGGGGAGGTGGAACGGACGGAAGGGAAGGTAGAAAGGAAAAAGGGGAGGGAGAGAAGGATGGAAGGAAAATATTAAAAAATAATCTTATATTCCTGAATATTCTCATCCTCACTTCCATTCTTTTTTTCTCTCTCTCTTATATACATGTCTCTTTTACACATTTACATTAATATAATCATCATCATCATCATCATTTGGGAGCTAACGCCGGCAGGGGTCCATAGCCGCATCCACCCTTTGCTTCCACCAACAATATTAATAAAATACATGTGGATAAAAACACTTGCATACACACACACACACACACACACACATACACATACACACATGTAAGTCTAATGCCTGGGTGTTCAAACCTTTGAGCTCTTTCACACAAAAACAAACATCATCAAAAGAAGAATTTTTTTTTTTTTTACATAAGCAGCTGTGAAAGGGATAAATAAGTAGCTTTGAAAAAAACAAACAAACAAACAAACAATAATATCAAATAAAATCAATCAATAATATTGAAAAAATATATATTTCTAAGAGGAATTACCTCAATTACTATAAGGGCCTGGACTGGTGTCTGCTCTTATAACAATAACAAAAAAAAAAAAAATTAAATCAACAACTCTTACTTGTTAACTAAATCCTGTAACTTCTGTATAGGTTCTGGATCATCATCTTTCCCGCACC